TCTCGGACTTCAGAAATCTTGCTTCTGGAAAGTTTGTTGTAGTCTTTGCCGCAGTGAAACACTCTGACTTTAATGAAATAGCATGGTATTTCTTTGGAGGCATTCCAGCCCCTTCTGCTGTTAACCCTGGGAGGACCGGTAATCTTGCAGAGGTGTTGGGCACTGTGCCCACGATCTCATCCAGACTTGGGGTGAGAGTTATTTCAGGAGGGGGTGGCGGGTCCTTTGCGTCTCTCCTTTTGCTGTTCCCTGCCTAATGCCTTTCTTCAAGAAGCCCTCGAGCTTGCTTAGGACCTCTCATTCCCAAAGCCCAGGTGTTCCGCTTGAGTTCGTGGTGGCGCCCATGGGACGTTTTGGATCAGGCTCATCCCAGGATTGCAGTGAGCGGGTGGGTGGCTCTCAGCACGGGCAATGTGCTCGGAGGGTGTTTGCAGTGGCAGCCTCATCTCGTTGCTGCCTGGACTGGCTGGTGGAGAGGGGCTGGGTGACTTTCTGCTCATTGCATCACTGTCACGACCCGTCTCCCCTGGTAGGTTGGGTGTTCATGGTCTGCAGGGCATGTCAGCACAGCTCTGGAGGCTTCTGGGCTTCGCGCAAGTCAGGAGGGGTCTGGGTTTCGCAAGAGCTCTCCTGCAGTGAAGCTCCTTCCTTTTGGAATTGTGGCAGCTCTGGTTTCCCGGCTTCCCCTCTGGCCCTTCCTCCCGACAGGGGTAGAGGGCAGCCATGCCTGCCGGCACCCGGGGGTCGGAGCCGTGGGGCTGGTGGCCGGGGGCCACCCTGCCCCATCGGGAGGCGGGCGCAGGCGCTGCATTCTTGCGGCAGTGTTGGAAATCTGTGTTATCGTCCTTGGGAGCATGATTCACCAGAAAGTCCTGCAGGAACGCAGCGGGGTTTCAGGTTTCGTGAACTATCAGCCTGCAATTCCGGGACTGGGAATATGTCAGCCCAGTCTCTGCTCGCCCGGAGCTTCCTCCGCCTCCTCTGCTGCTGTTCAGACCCGACCGGAGGAGACTTACTGAAAGCAGGTTTTGTTGTTCTGTTTTGAGGTTTCTTGTCCGCTAAGGTCCCAGTCTTTGATTTGAAGCTGTGGCTTTTCAGATGTACCAGGCGCAAATACTCTCCCTCTGCATTTAGATGTAGTGCTTCGTTCAACAGAGATATTTCTCGTGCCTTGTAAACCTCCCTCCCCGCATGAGGTAGGCTGGATTCTCCTCCCCGTTTAATGGCAGAGGAATCGAGGCACCCAGAAACAGCACATCTCGCTCGGGGTCACTCGTGGAATTGGTGGCAGCTGAGGACGGAAGCCAGGACTCTCGGCTCCTTGCTTTAACCACTGGGAATTAAGTTTGCTATTGTCTTGAAAACTACTGGGCTGGAGTGGGTGTGTTGCTGAATTGCAGAGGGAGCCAGATTTCTATGCAATCTCCTTTTTGTCATGTTCTTTTCAAGATGTTTTGGATCATTTGTCTCCCTGTGTCAGTGTATCTACTTTCTAATTCTCTTCTGTGGCCCAGATGTGTGGCATGCCCCCTGGAATCCAGTTTGAATCCTGGGGCGTGTGCAAGGAGCAATTGAGATGCCTATCGGCATGGGGTGGCCTGGGTGGATCCCCGCTGTCCATCTGCATGAGGATCCAACTGTGACTACTCCCCAGAACAGAGCAGAATCCGCAGGCAGCTGCTTCTGGCCTTGTTCCCGTTCGGGTTTGCGAGGGGAGTGCAGTCGGACTCGGGCTGGAAGAGGAGGGCTGCCCAAGGTTGAGCCAGGGCCCCCAGTCAGCCCAGGGTGGTGGGTGGCTTTCCACCCTGCGACTGGCTGAGACAGGGCATTGGATTCTTCCCTGGAGCACCGGCCTGCTCCCAAAATGAAGGAAGAAGGTAGATGCCCCCAAACCGTCGTGTTCTGGAGGGACCTTGCAGCCATTGAGGCTCGTCCATGCTGTAGGCAGTGTCTGAAGGCTTCACCGTGGCGGCTGCCAGGTCCTTCGGGATCAACGTGTGTGTTCCCTGTGATCCCACCTGAGAACTAGAGGGGAAGGGGGCGCATCTCGAACATTAGTCTCTGCAGGGCCCTGGTTTTCTTCCTCCCTCCCCAGGGTGCCCACATGCCGGTGCTCTGCTGCTCTGGGGTTGTGCTGCAATGCTGCTGAGCGCTCGTGTTTTTGGTGAGGCACTTTGGGACCTGTTTGGTGTGCAATGTCATGCCTGTGCAGATGTGCCAGGGGCAGACCCACATCTCCCAGCCTGTCACTGGTCGGGATGGCACTGGCAGCAGCTCCTCGGCTGGGCCGGTGGGTTTGTGGCTCTGGGGACTGCGGCGCAGCACGTTGCAAAGATTGCAGAGCAGCAGGCGGGGGCTCTGGGCCACCAGCAGCGGGAGCTGCTGCAGGGCTTGCTTTCTGGAATGCTGTCTGGCAGCAGCCTCTTCCAGCGGGGCTGAAGGCTCCCTGCGGCTGGCCAGCCAGCGGCTGCCGGCAGTGTGCGTGCTTCACGCTGCAGCTTGTGCCATATGGACCTTCTCCTCCTCCCCGCTTGCCCTCTCCATGTCTCCTTCCCCACTCCGCTCCCCTCCCCCTGCGAGCGGTTTGACAGAGCAATTGGGCAGGCGCTGGGACGGCAGCTCTGACATAAATCTCTCCTGGTGTGGAATGAGGGGTATAAATATCCAGAGAGTGATGTGATCTTTCCAGCTGCTATTAATAGGTCCCTGGAGAACAAGAGCGAGCGAGCGAGACTGGCTGACACTTAAAGGGCTAGCAACTCCCTTATGTGCTGTGAAAATTAATCAGCGCTGTGGCTCACCATCTTCCTCCAGGCTAGAGCAGAGCCCGCGCTGAGGTGCGCGGGGAGGCGGTGGCGGAGGAGGCAGAACTAACGACCCGCTAGTTAGGAAGTGGTGATAGGCCAAGCTGTGGACGAGCGATCCCGCTAACTAGCTGAGAATGCCTGGGTGGGCTGTGCCATGGCACTGCTGGTGTGGGCTGCTCAGGGCCGGCGCAGCGGCCAGCATGTCAGCCAGGCCACTGGCTCGCCCGAGCAGCCCCCTGTGTGGGCAGGAAGCTGTTGGCGGCGGATGGCAAGCTGCAGCCTGCGCCCCGTGGCCATGGCCAGCTTTTGGGGATTTATGGGTCTGCCGAGCGTGCTTCCCTTTTTGCTCGCGTGCTGTTCTTGGTACGGCGTTTTGCCCGATCCAAGTGAGCTGTTCGTTGGCTTTTGCCGATGGTGTGTCTTCAGGCCTGCCTTGGGCAAGCCGGGAGCGGCATGCGCAGGGCTGCTGAGCTCTTGCGGCGCTGTTTAGACACGGAGTTTGGTCTGGAGCTGGTGCTTCCTGTCCCTGGGTGGCAGAAGAAATCTGTGCGCAGCATCTGGCCTGCTCAGCCCAGATGGGAGGAGCAGACCATGGGCCCAGCGACCCCCCCGTGCTGGGAAATTTCTCTGCCTGCGCACAGGAAAGGTTCTTGAGTGCATCGTGGGGGTGTCATGCGAAGCACATAGCAGACATAAGCAAACAGAGTAGCACCTCAACTTCCACGAACGTGTGGTTTTCTCTCCTTCCCTGCTGTCCCCTGAGAAGTAGAGAAGACTGTGATGGGTGGGGTGTCTCTGCAGCTTTGGGGTCACCTGTTGGGCTAGTGAAGAGGCTGTTGAAGAGGAACGTGGCGCTCTAATGAAGGTTTATGTGCTCTAGAATGAAGAAAGCCAGGAGTAGTTCTCATGGGGATGTGCGTCCTGCACTGGGACTGTCTCCGAGGGCTCAATAGTGAACGCGGTTCAGGCCAGGAAGAGTCGATGTGCAAGAGCTGTGTCTGAAGGTCAGGGACGTCCTCTGACTGCACCGGTAGTCCCTGAGGTGAGGCTGGCTGGTGTCCCCCACTGGCTGTGCCATGCTGAAGACGGCTTCTTGCCACAAGTAGGGCAGTACTCGTAGGCCAGAAGGGATGCACCGTGCTGTTACCGGGGTCATCTGTTGACCTGAGGGTTAGGAGCAGCCTCCCAGAGCATGTGATGTGCTCTCATACTGTGGAGCCGCATCCCGGTCGTGTCTAATGCCCACGCAGAGGTCCAAGTGGAAGAATCCCAGCATGAGCCTAAGAGATTCTGCCAAGGCAAATAGATCCTGCCAGGATGCTCAGCTGTGTGTATGTCCTCCAGCCCAAATCCTGCGTGCTCTGCCCTGAGCCTCGTCCATAAAGGGCCCTGCCTCGGCCTGTGGGGCTGTTCGGAAGCAGGGCTGGCTCTGGAGCAGGAGCCTCACCCCACTGTCCTGGCAGAGCCGTGGCACGTTGCATCATCCTGATGGGTTGGGAGCAACCACTGAAGGGAACTCTCCCTCTCACCCAGGGCCTCAGAGCAGGAGCCAGGATGGTCCCTCAGGCCCCTGGGAGAGACGGGGATACGATACCAATTAGCTGATGAGTGCCTGCACTTCCCGGCTCTGCCCTTGCTTTGTGACCCGCCGCTGCTACCTTCTCCTCAGTTGCCTCAACCTTCTTAGTGCTCCCCTGTCCCATTTCAGCTTTTTTTTTATAGACTTGTGTCTGCTCAGTTGTCTCCCGAGTGTTGCGCAGAGCAGGGGAAACTGACTTAGTCACAGAAGGGTTCCCTGAAAACAGTAGGACAGCAAATTTCTGTTCAGGGTCACAAAGTTGTCTGAACTCCGGGAACACCTGATAAATAGCCCGCCAAGGCCTAGGCTGGCACAGAGCACCCCGTTCGCATCACGACCTTGGAAACGAGGGCCCTGGTGTCCACGGCTATGCCTTGGTGTGGTGGGGAGCTTGATGTGCCCGGATGGGAGATCGCTGCTTGTCCGCCCGCAGCTCACTGTGGAGCAGGATCCTTGGCTCAGAGGGCTAATTCCTGGCAGGAGCAGCTCTGGGTTGTGCCTCGCCCCATGCTTTCTGTCCCTGCCACCAAGCAGCATCCCCCGGCCCTGGGCAGTGCCTCTGGCATCCACGCAGGCACGGCACCACATTCACTTTCCGCCCTCTTCTCTTGCAGGTTTCTGACCGAAGGGCCTGGGAGCTCCCTCCACTGGCGCTGTGGGAAGCGTTAGCCAAACCAATGCACCCTGACAACAAACTGCCCAGCCATGGCAAGGCAGGCAGCAGCGGTGCCCCGGCCCAGCACCACAACGTGAGCCAAGCACCCACCTGCAACCTGGGCTCTAAGGGTGTCGGGGCAGGCAGCCATGGCGGCAAGGCCACTCAGATCTCCCCTGGCAACTCTGGACTGAAAAACAGCCAGAACACTGTCCCAAACTTCAGCTCCTTGAAGGGCAAGGTGAAACGGGAGCGAAGCATTTCGGTGGACTCTGGAGAACAGCGAGAAGCCAGCACCCCTTCACAGGACGCAGAATCAAAAGGTAAGACTCTCCAAAACCTTGCCTCAGCACGTCCTCCTCGCAGTTGCTCCAAGCATCCTGGCAGGACCTGGGATGGGAGCAGCTGTGAGCATCTTGGGCTTCTGTGCTGCGGCTTCTGTCCGGGCTTGTCCTGGCTGCCTGTGTGTCTTTGCATCACCGCTTGTCACACGTGTGGTTTTGGGACCGGAGTGGCTGAGCATTCTCTTTACATTTCATTCCCTCAACTGTTTGTCACACTGAAAATCTGGGACTCTGGTTTTCATGGGCTTCTGGGACCAGCTAAGCCAAGAGCATGGTTCACTGAAACTGCACGGAACACCTCTGCTTTGCCGCATGCAGACTTTCGACTTGGGACCGAGTTGAGTTGTTTTCTGTCTCCTTGCTGTTGGCAAAGAGCTGCCTTTGTGGTGTTCTTGCAGCTGCCTGACGACTCGGCCGTGGTTAGCAAGGAGGTGCTGTGAGGGTCGCTGTCTGAACAGTTCTGTGGTTTCGTCAGCGATGGATGACTCTTGCGCTACAGCACGTGGCTTCTGGAAAAGGGCTGAGTCAGTGCTTCCAAACCCTCTGGCTTCCCTGTCCTCACCAGCCTTCCCTGTAGCCTCTCACGTTCCACCCAGCTCTGCGCTCAACGGCTTCACGGGGCCCTTGGGCATCTCACAGGGTGTTCGTGGAGGAGAAATACCAGTGGTGCCCTTGCTGGGCACCTGGCCACCTGAAGTTGCAGTCCCCAAATGCAGAGCCGCTGTTCTGACTTGTGCCCCAAAGCATTTGGTTTCGCAGCATTTTCTGAGAAATGGAGGGAGCATCCCAGTTTGCAGAGGGCATAAAGGCCCCTGCCTGCCTGCCGTCTCTGAAGGGCAGTCTGTCTCTTGTTCCTACAAAGAATGTGAACGTGCCCTCCTGTGCTGTTTTCAGGTTATATTTGCTAAATCACAGACCCGGTAAATTTCAGGTTAATATCCAAAGCTCTCCAGTTGGAGCAGCAGTTGGGCATGTCCTGTGTTTGCAGGCTCCTTTCCGGCAGTAAGAAATACATCCCATTCTGCGTCGCCTGCTCTCGCAGGGGCCTCACCGGGTCTGGCTGCAAAGACAAGGAGCCCAGACTGAGCAGATGCTTCAGGACCTTTCCCAGGGCTTCTGGCCCAGTCTGTCCTGGCTGGGCTGGCAGTGCTGGCGTGCGGCATATGGCTGGGCATGGCCCCAGCCCTGCCAGGTCTCAGCAGCTCTTCTGATGGCTCTGTCCCTTTCAGGTGAGGTGGCTCCCCGCAGCAAGCGGCGGTGTGTGCTGGAAAGGAAGCAGCCATACAGCGGGGACGAATGGTGCTCTGGACCAGACAGCGAGGAAGACGACAAGCCCATCAGCAGTGCACACAGTGAGTGGCCACCTTCTTATCAGCTCAGACGCTTCACCAAAGCCAGGCCCCTCCTGCAGCTCAGCAGGGAGATGGTGCTGGCACCTCTTGGTTGGCCTGTGTATGATGACATGGTGGTGATGGGCCATTGCAGCTGGCGATCGTTGTGTTGTGAGAGTGGTCGTGGCCATGCAGTGAGGCGTGGGACCTGCTTTGTGGAGAAGCTGCTGAGATCCTGTAGGGGAAGATAATGAGGTTGGATGTCCCCGCTGTAGATTGCTCTGGCTGCGCCAGCGGCAGAATGGCCATCCTGAAAGTGTGCCTGGTTAAAATCTGGTAAAGTGTGTGCCTACTGTGGTCATAGTGGCAGCCAGACACACGACATGCATTGCCCTTGTGGCAGCAGCTGCATCTGTGCCATCTGTCCTCCCAGCTCCCCGCAACCATGCTTTAAAGGCAACTGAGGCTAACGGGGCTCTCGAGGTCTTGACAGTGGCTCTGGCAGGGCTGAGCTGGCCAAGGCTTGCGCCCTTGGAGCAACAAATTGTAGATCTCTCCAGTTTTCCAAAAGTGTCCAAACTCTTTGATTTTTTTCTGCATCTGGAATTCAGTTTACTTTCGGATTGCAGCAGGGAGAATATCTGAGAGGACAGGGCAAGGTCCTCGGGGGCCACAGCTGATGGAGAGCATGGAAGTGTATGAAACCAAGTAGAGGGTGGCCTTTGTGCCTGCCAGTGCCCTGTTGCACTCCAGGACATCCCCTTGTGTTTCTCTGCACAGTTCACAGCCCTCACGGGAAGGGAGAATGCTGCCTCCCCGTTGCAGCCTGCTCTGAGATCTGCCTAATTAGAGCAGGTCAAGGTGGGGCTGTCTGGGCAGCGTGTGTATCCCCTCCCCAGGTGTCCAGTCGTGTTTCTTCTCTTTAAATGCTTCTGTGCCAGGGCCGGGCTAATGGCACTGGTGTTCGGGGGGTCCAGGGGAGGAGAGCAGGGGAGCCCTGGCTGTTGTGGCCCTGTTGTGTGTGTGAGGACCTAGGCGAGGGGAAGGCACTGCATGCCTCTGGTAATTGCATTGCTTATTAATATTAATTAGGAATATTATTTAATAACGGCTGACGATTAATAGCCACCGCTCCAGCGGATAGCATCCTCTCTTTCCCCACTCCCGGGGGGCAGAGAGAGGAGACCATCGGTCCGTGCCGGGCACCGGGAGGCGGTGGCGGGGACGGCCGGGCGGCTGCTGCCACCTCCCGGCGGCCCGGCCGGCGGCGGCTCTGCCTCTGCCCGCAGGTCTCTGCCCCGGCTCCCTCCTGCTCGCCCCTTCCTCCCTGGGTCTGTCCCACTGCCCTCAGCTGCTTCAGAGAAGAGCAACGGAGCTGGTGAGGGGTCTGGAGAACAGTGCTTATGAGGAGCGACTGAGGGAGCTGGGGGTGTTCAGCCTGGAGAAGAGGAGGCTGAGGGGAGACCTTCTCGCTCTCTCCAACTCCCTGAAAGGAGGGTGTAGCCAGGGTGGGTCGGTCTCTTCTCGCAAGGAACAGGCGATAGGACAAGAGGAAACGGCCTCAAGTTGTGCCAGGGGAGGTTTAGATTAGATATTAGGAAAAATTTCATTACTGAAAGGTTTATTAAGCATCGGAACAGGCTGCCCAGGGAAGCGGTTGAGTCACCACCCCTGGAGGTATTTTACACGATGTCAGTTCTTACTGACACGGTTTAGTGATGGTTTTTGTCAGTATTGGGTTGATGGTTGGACTTGATGATCTGAAAGGTCCCTTCCGACCTGGAAAATTCTCTGATTCTGTGGTTCTCCCCTGCTCTCCCACAGATTGTAATGTAGCAGATCCTGCGATGTCCACGGCCTCGCAGCTAGGCCCAGGGTCCAACCCGCTGCCGAACCTGAATGAGACCGGTTCCTCCAGCGTCCCTCATGGTGCTGCCCCTGGCTTACGGTCAGAGGCGGCAGGAGGCGGAGGTGGCGGAACAGGAAAGCAGCCCTCGCAGTTCGTTTACGTCTTCACCACGCACCTTGCTAACACGTAAGCAGTAAACCCAGTCCGTCCACCCTCTGTTGGCGTGGGGCCAGCCTGCCTGTTGGTGCTGTGCTGGGGTACAAGGGAGCTGAACAGACCCGTGTCACTTTGGGGGGCACAGAGTGGGTCCCTCCTGAGGTTCATGAAGTTTGCTGGCAGCTACTGCTGGTGGGCAAACTTTGCCTTAAATGCCCACTTCCTCCCAGTAATGTCCAGCACTGTGCTCTGTGACACGTGCCGTCGAGTGCACCTTGTCAGCATCCAACAAAAAGATTCACCAAAGCAGTATGGAAGCTGCTCTGATTCAGCAGTATCCAAGGGGCTGGGTGTCACAGGGAGTGTCGTGTAACACTTGGTGTTCTCTGCTCAGTTCCTCCCTTCTGTCCTGCATTGTCTCAGCCATGGAACCTTGCAAGACTGTTTAGTTTTAGAGCTCTGCTGTACCGCAGGTTGGGTGTGGTAGATGCCAGAGAATCTCAGCGACAGCCACCTTAGGGCAGCAGGCACAAAGCAAAGCCCAGTGCCCATCACAGGATGTGGGAAGAGGGAAATTCCAGGGCAAGTGATGGTCAGTTGGAGAACCTCACCGGGAGGACTCTGAGAATATCCCCTCTTCTCTCTGACCTGCAGAGATTTCCCTCTTCCTGCAGGACTGAAGAGCGGAGGTGGCACCTGGGGCCTGGGATGGGTGGGATGAGGCACGATGCCTGTTCTTGAGCGGTTTGTGCTCTCTCCCCAGAGCTGCAGAAGCTGTCCTGCAGGGCCGAGCTGACTCCATTCTGGCCTACCATCAGCAGAACGTACCGCGGGCAAAGCTAGACCAGGTAACAGGCCTTGAACCAAATGCTGCTGTTGGCACATGCTGCTGCCTGACCATTCCTTTCCAATGTGGCCATTCTCCCTTGGCTCAGCTATGGAGGAAGGGGCTATCGGGATGCTCTGCCAGTGGGGCGAGAAGCTGCTTTGCTGTGGAACCTCTTTGACGTCCTGGCTGCTGTCAGCTGTGAAACGGTTGGGATGTGGCCCCGCAGCCACATGGGCAGAGTACCTGACTGTTGCTCTCCAGGGCACGCACAGGGCCTGCTTCTTCCCCCCAAGGGGTGAAGGCGAGCTGCCACGGGACATGTTTTTGGGACAGAGAGATCTCCTGTGGGGTACAGGGAAGAGTACCTGCCATGGGGTTTTCCTGCTTACATTTTTTTCCCTTTTCTCTGCCAGGCACCAGCTCCTAAAGTGCTGGGGGTGGCTGAGCCGCTTCCGATTAACCCTCCTGCTGCCAACACTCCACAGTCCCAGCCACCGGCACCACAGGCGAGTCAGCCACAGCCGCAGCCTCCGCCGCCGCAGCCGCCGCCGCAGCCCATCAGCCAAGCACCTTTGCCGGCGCCCAGCAGCCTGCCCCAGGAAGGGACGAGTGAAGATGTCCGGAGAGATCTGACCCCCAACTCTTTGGGGAACAACGGCGGCAGCAACCAGCCCGGGAGTAACCACCCAAACACGCCCACTGCCTCTGCCAACGCCATGCAGCCCGGGACAGGGGACTCCTCTGCCACGTCCAGCTCTGGCCTCCTTGGGGAGGGCCCGGGTCCGGGGATGCCGGGGAACGGGCAGGCAGGCCTGGGCCCCAGGAACCCCATGAACTCGGAAGGGCTCTCAAAGGAGCAGCTGGAGCACCGAGAGCGCTCTCTGCAGACCCTGCGGGACATTGAGCGGCTGCTGCTACGCAGCGGGGAGGCCGAGCCCTTCATGAAGTCCAGCCAAAATGCGGGTGAGGGTGGGACTGCGCCCCAGCCGCAGGCTGCTCCCGCCCCGCCTCCCGCGCCCCCCCCCAGCATGAAGAAGTATGAAGAGCCTCTGCAGTCCATGATCTCCCAGACCCAGAGCCTGGGTGGGCCCAGTCTGGAGCATGAGGTACCCCACCACCCCGGCGCTGACATGGGGCAGCAGATGAACATGATGATGCAGCGGTTGAACCAGGACAGCCTGACACCGGAGCAAGTGGCCTGGAGGAAGCTGCAGGAAGAGTACTATGAGGAAAAGCGGCGGAAAGAGGAGCAGATCAGTATCCATGGCCGGCCCATGCAGGAGATCATGATCCCGCAGTCGATGGGGAGCATGATGATGCGTGGGCCGCCACCTCCCTATCACAGCAAGCCTGGAGAGCAGTGGCCGCCAGGGATGGGCAGCCAGCTGCGGGGACCCATAGATGTGCAGGACCCTATGCAGCTGCGGGGGGGGCCACCCTTCCCAGGGCCACGGTTCCCTGGGAATCAAATGCAGAGAGTCTCTGGCTTCGGAGGGATGCAAAACATGCCCTTGGATGCTCTTGGGCCCATGAATGCCATGCAGAGGCCGGTCAGGCCTGGCATGGGATGGAGCGATGATATGCCTCCTATGGGAGGCCCTGGGAACTTTCCGCAAGGCACCTTGCCCTACCCATCGGGGCAAGGGGACCCCGAAAGGTTCATGAATCCCCGTGCCAGGGAGGAGATCCTGCGGCATCAGCTGATGGAGAAACGCCCAGTGGCGATGCAGAGACCCATGGGGATGTCCGGCAACTCCATGAACCAGGGCATGGAAATGGAGAGGATGATACAGGCTCACAGGCAGATGGATCCATCCATGTTTGCTGGGCAGATGGCAGGGGACAGCCTGAGCAATGCCCCTATGGGTATGGATTTTGCAGGCACTCGGGGGATGCTGAGCCCCCCTATGAGTCAGTCAGGCCTTCGGGACATGGATGCACCCATGGGCCCTGGCAACCTCAACATGAACATGAATGTCAACATGAACATGAACATGAACCTCAACGTGCAGATGACCCCGCAGCAGCAGATGATGATGTCGCAGAAGATGAGGGGCCCTGATATGATGGCCCACCAGGGCATGAGCCCTGAGGAGCTGGCCAGGGCGAGGGCTCAGAATGGCAACGGCAGCGCAATGCTGGGGGGACCCCAGAAAATGATGATTCCCTCCCAGTTCCCCAACCAAGGACAGCAAGGCTTCCCGAGCGGGCAGGGGCCCTACCCCAACATGCCCCAGGAGATGGGCAGCGGCTCAGACATGTTCAGCCCTGAGCAGGGCACCATGCCTGTTGGGAGCATTAGTGGCACCACCAGGCTCAGCCACATCCCTCTGCCTCCAGCCTCCAATCCCACGCCTGCGCAAGGGGGCAACCTGGCCAACATGCACCCAGCACCTTCCCGGGGCCTGGGCCGCCGGCCCTCGGACCTCACCATCAACATCAGCCAGATGAACTCCCCCAGCATGGGTCACCTCAAGTCTCCCACGCTCAGCCAGGTGCACTCACCGCTGGTCACCTCCCCCTCTGCCAACCTCAAGTCCCCGCAGACGCCCTCACAGATGGTCAGTATGCCACCTTCAAACCAGTCTGGACCCCTCAAGTCCCCCCAGGTGATGAGCTCCTCGCTTAACGTCCGGTCTCCAACTGGCTCACCCAGCCGCCTGAAGTCCCCTTCTATGGCTGTTCCTTCCCCGGGCTGGGTGCCCTCTCCCAAAGCCACCATGCCTAGCCCAGGAGTCAACCAGAGCAAGCAGACTCTCAGCATGAACTCATCTACTTCCATGGGAGGACTGGATCAGGGTATGCCAGGTGTCTTGCGTGCATGTGCTCGGTTTTGGTGAGTGTGTGGATGGTGTTCTCTCCAGCCCGCGTGCTCTCGCAGGAGCGGGGAGACACTCGTGCCTGTGCCTGCCTTTACGTCTCACGGAGCAAGTCTTTTTTTCCCAGGACTGCAAACGGGGCCTTTCCAGGTAGATGGGAAGGTGAACAGAGCAGCTTTTACTTCAACCCCAGATCACGCTCTGTGATACAGGCAGCAAAAGATGAGTCTGTGCTGGGCAGTTTGATGTGTGAAGGTCCATCACCGCTCTGGAGTGAGGTCTCCACATGAGCCTCCCTGGAGGGTGCTGGGCTGTGCCAGCCCTGGCTTTTGCAGCCTCCTCTGGTCGCTGCCATTGGAAGGAGGGGACGGGGTTGCTGTCTGAGAGGAGCAAGCCACGGTGTGCTGCCGGTACTCAGCTGGTCTTTCTCTTGCTTGCAGGTTCTCTCCCTTCTGGGCCTCGGAGCAGCTCTTCCGCACCAGCCAGTAACACCTCCGGCACCATGAATCCCAACATGCCTTTTACTTCCTCTCCAGATCCATCCCCCTCCCAGAACCCCCTCTCGCTGATGATGTCCCAGATGTCCAAGTATGCCATGCCCAGCTCCACACCGCTTTACCACAATGCCATCAAAACCATCGCCACCTCTGATGACGAGCTGCTGCCAGACAGGCCTATGCTCCCGCCTGGAAGCATGTCAGGTACGTACTTCTGGGCTTGCAAGGGGTCAGACCGCCTTGTGGCTGCCAGCAGACCTGCGGCACGAGATGGAGGAGCCATTAAAAACTGTGTTCTCCCACCGACTGCCATGTCAGGTAGCTTAAATTTTCCCTCATTCGTAACACTCTGCTCGCTTCTCCGCCCTGGGCCCAGGCTGACTGGCAGCTTTTGGTTCGGATGTGCTGTCTGGAAGGACGTGAGCCATTCTGGCATTTGAGGTACCCTTCTTCCCCGAGCTCTGGAAGTTTTCGGAACTGCCTTTACACTCCGCAGACACATCGGCCCTGGATTTTTGTGGCTCCCGGAGTTGTCTCAGGCCCAGGACTTGCACGCAGGGGTCTGCTGCTCAGAGCTCTTGTGTAGCAGGACAGGGACAGGGGACCGCGGGAACAGGGTTTGGGAGTCTGGTGTTTTGAGTGGAGGCCAGGTGTCTACACAGGCAAGGCTATGTCATAGCATAGTTCTGATTTCAGTAGGCGACAGCCAGATACGCTCCACTGGCTGGTGGCACCGGTGAGGACAGCTAGGCAAATGAGTGTTTTTCGTCACTTGGTGACTAGCCCTAAGGGGAATTCCAGCACGCTGTACCACTTGATTTAGGGGGTCAAAGCCGTCTGTTAAATATTTTTGGCAGTTTTCAAAATGAAAAATCAACTTTTTGACTCTTCTACTGCTGAGTAGTCACTTGGGTTGACCACAGGCATGCAAATGCATTGGCTCCCTCCTAACCCGCACCCCGTCCGCAGGCACGGGTGGCTCTGCCGTACCGGAGAGCACAGTCCTCCCTCCCGGACAGCGCTGTGTCAGGCTGATGACTCTTGCTTTGCAAGCTCATTTTGCAGCTGCTTGCTGAGCATCACGCTCCGCGCTCAGGGCTTTCTGAGCAGGAGCACTTGGCAGGTTTTCAGGGTGTGGATTTTGCCGCCCTGAGAGGTGTGTGGGCAGAGTTTAACTCTTTCCTTTTCCTCTCCTTAGGCGTGACGGGGAACCAGCCGAATCAACTGCACTTGAACTCTGTGGGGCCCGGATCCTCCCAGAGCCCCATGGGAATGAACCTGCCTGGTCAGCAACCCCTCTCCCATGAACCACCCTCCACCTCCATGATGTCCTCCCCGAACCCTCTGGGCTCCAACATTCCTATGCACCCGAGTGCGCCGGGGGCGGGCGTCCCCCCCCAGAACCCCATGATGCTGCCCCCGGGGCCCCAGGACTCGTTGAACCAGCAGTGCGGCCCCGTGCCCAACAGTTCGCAGATGATTCCTTCCAACCAGCTCGTGTTCCCCCGCATGCAGCAGCCCCACAACGCCATGCCCTCTCCTGCTGGAGGCATGTCCATGGCCCCTGGTGGGGCGGGCGGCCCTGGGATACAGCAGCATTACCCGCCGGGGATGCCCTTGCCGCCCGAGGACCTTCCCTCCCAGCAGCCCGGCCAGATGCCCCCCCAGCAGCACATGATGGGGAAGAACATCCCTCCTCGGATTGGCGAGCCCTACCCGCCGGTGCTTCCCGGGGTGGCGTCGGTGCTGAACGACCCTGAGCTCAGCGAGGTCATCCGCCCCACGCCCACGGGCATCCCTGAGTTTGACCTCTCCAGGATCATCCCGTCGGAGAAGCCCAGCAGCACCTTGCAGTATTTCCCCAAGAGCGACAGCCAAGCGCCCAAATCGCAGCCTTCCAACCTCCACCTCATGAACCTGCAGAACATGATGGCTGACCAGCCCCCGGTGCGGCCAGGTATGAATGCCCCCAGCCTCCCCGGGCAGCAGGGCGTGCAGAGGGGACTCGGTGTGCCCATGTGCCACCCCGGACAGGTGCCCATGCTGGGCAGGACAGGCATCCCCCCCCAGCAAGGCATGATGGGCAACAGCATGCACCAGGGCATGATGTCTCCGCAGCAGAGCCTGATGGCCCAGCAGAATTTCATGCTGATGCAGGCCAAGCAGAGGAGCATGTCCGTGTCGGGGGAGATGTACGCTCAGACAGGACACATGATGTCACCTCAGGGCTCTCTTATGGGGCCCCCGCCTCAGCAGAACCTCATGGTCACACACCAGATGAGGCAGCGGAGTGTCTCCCTGGACAGCCAGATGAGTTACATCCCCGGGCCCGGGAACATGGCCAACCTGCCGTTCTAGCCTGGCTGGGCTCAGGGGTGGGGAGGGGGCCCAGCTGCCTGGACAAGCGTTTTTAAGCTTTTCTTCGGGGGAGGGTTGGGGGCCAGTGCCAGTGGAGGACACCACGTGGGATGCTTTTCATATCGGATTTGCCTCTACACAGAAAACCAGATGTGCAGTAAACTTGATGTGAATTGGGTTTCTTTTTCCTTTCTTTTTTGGGGAAGGGGAGGGTGGAGGGGCTGGGAGCGGGGCTGTTACTTTGAACCCTGTGTGGTGACCGGGGACGTACAGACCCTGCGGCAGTTTGTAAAGTTTTCATTTACGGTTTTCCTCTGTCAAGTGTTTTTCTTTCCCCCTTTTTTTTTTCCTCTCTCTTTTTTCATTTTTCTTCTCTCTCTTTTTTTTTTTTCTTCTCCTTTTTAAGCAACCAAAACGTGCAAGAGGGTTTTTGGAACTAGCTGTAAATAGGTCGCTGGGAAAGGCAAAACTTGTGCTGGTTTTAAATTGTTCTGTATTTCTGTGTTTTAATAGAAGCCTCAAAACATGTTTTAAAAAAAGCAGAAACAAAAAACATGCTAAAGGCAACAGTGTACAAGGATTGAAAACTCTCTCTGGGGGAGGCAGGAGGATCCCCCAGGGTGCACAGGGCATTGAGAGATCCCATTGTAGAGTGACTCTGTGTCAAACCTGTGTTGTTCACGCGTCAGAACGGTTTGCATGTGCGGGGTGTATAGTTTCACGCAGACCTTAGGCCCCTGTGGAGGCTGTGCTGAGTACACGAACGCAACCGAGGACCGTCGGGGAGGTCAGAGCTGTGGCCCCAGTGAAACGCTGCCAGGGCAGCGATCACCCGGCGGGATGGATGCCGCAGCTTCCCGAGACACAAGCTGCTGTGGCTGGGACGGGGAGGACGCCGGCCCCTCGGCTGGAGAAGTAGTGAGGATCCAGGCTTTGCAGGTGATAACATGCTGGACCCAAAGGTCTCAACCAGTCGTGTCTCCTCTAGTTCCTTCTCTTCCCTTCGTGCTGTGTCCCCCGGGCAGGGTGCGTAGGGACGGATAGGCTCCGAGGTGAGCAAAGCGATGCATTCCCGTGCTTCCAGGAGAGGCTAGCTGGGAACCCTGCTCTTGCAGCCTTTCTGCACCAGTCCTTTACCCACTTTTCGCCCTCAGTGATGGCACCGTGCTCCCTCTACCTCTGTTGTTGAATGCTCTTCCGAGTCTTCCTCACGCTTGTCGATCCTCCTTCTCTGGAGTTTCTCAGGCAGTCTTCTCTCCGTCTCGCCCCGAGCGACCAGCAGCAGCCCTGCCCTTCTGCACGACAGAGGTCCAGCCATTGAAGACAGCCTATCCCTGCAGGTGATACTCCATCTCGGTATAAGAGTTAACTTGCAGCTTCGGACAGAAGAGGCCAAGGTTGCGTTGCACCACTGGTTCCTAGGCTGGCGGAAGCGTGCCGTCCAAACGAGTCTGGCTTCTCTGGATGTGCTCTGCCCTCCCCATCCTCCGCTCTGTAAGGTCTTCCTGCATGTGGCACTGATGGTCTTTCCTGTGCTTGTACACAGAGGGGGCTGCAGGGTGACGCGTGTGCACTTCTGTGCACACCGCGGTGGCTCTGGACCTCCCCGGGGACTGCGTTCCAGCATGGTGTACCCTATGGGTATCCAGCGGTGAGCTCGGGGCATGCGATCACCTGAGGATCACCAGTTGGAGGATTATCTCTGCAGAGCCGGGCTCAGATACTACCTCTCTTGTGACAGGGCTCGCCTTTCCCTACTCACTGCTGCAGGGAGGAGAGGGCTTTCGGAAAAATTGAGAAGTAGTGAATGGCAACACTTTCTATCACGTTGGAAGCTGTTCGGAAAGGCTGGTGGGTGCTGAAATGTCAGCCCACGGGTGTCTTGATCCCATCTGCGAGGAGATGGAACCACAAAGTCCGGTTAGGGAATACCTTGAAGCCTTGGGGCGTTTTGTGGCAAGCAGTACAGGGTGGAAGCACGGGTCTGGGTTTGAGGAAAGATTTTGCTCTGGTCTCCTGCTTTGTGTGGGTTTTTTTGTTTATGATGTGAGCGAGATGCATTTTCAGAGATGGCAAAACAGGAACAGTCCTGAGAAGTGCTTATCCCTGCCCTGGCAGTTGGAGCAGAGGAGTAATCTTCAGGCCAGGCTAACAAAGTGTGCTTTGGAGCTGACGTGTTAGCCGGTTGGATTCTCCATCCTTTCAGAGTGTGCGTCTCACGTGGGAGGATGTCACTCAAACAGATGTAGCTCTTTCTAAGCTTGACTTGCCTGAAAGGCTGTGGCTTCTCTTGGCTGCACTTCGGGGTGTTGGCTGCTGGTAGTTTCTCATAAACATCCAAACACCAATGCCAGCCCCCGACCTTGCTCACCACCCACCAGCCTAGTCTCGGTTAATTTGAAGCCATAATATTTTCTATATGGGAGGGGTTTTTTGTTTGTCTGTAGACAGCTGTTGTTGTAGCCCGGTTGAGATCTCCACGTGTCCGTACCTTCCCCGTTGTCCCTTTCGCCCAGCCCGACTGCGAGAAGTGTCCTGGGGCTTGCGGTCCCCGCTCTGTGGGCAGTGCATTGTCCCCGTGTCAGCCGGAGCCACAGGCTCTGCAGTGCCCAGGAGGTCAGCACCACCCGCTCGCAGGGACAGGGCACCTGGCGGCAGGAGGGAGACCTGTCCTTTGGTGACAAATGCGTAAGAAGCAAAGCCTTTTGACTCGGCAGCCCTGGATACAAAAGGGAAATCCTGACGCCAGGTCAGAGCTGGGGACCTCGGAGCAGCAGTCTGCACTCTTCTGCAAAAATCCCACCACCCCGGAGCCAGCCCTGCCGCTGCGATGGCCAAACATCGGGGAGAAGAAGCGTTGCCGAACACCCCTCGGGCGCCGCTCCCAGCCGCGCCTGCGAACAGCAATATGGCAGGAGCTTCTCTGGAAGCTCAGTCACAGCCAGTCCTTGTTAGACCTGGGCAGGGTTTGCCACCGGCCCAGTGCCCACTGCCGTGAGCTGTGTCTAGTCTCGTGTCTTGTAGTTTATTGCTCGGCTTCTCAGCTTGAGTTCTGTGTACTGACTCCACCTAATCACAGTAAAAGGTTTGCCCATGTTTTAGCCATGACTTCGCCGTGTTTTTCCAGCTCCAAAAAAAAGCGAACGCTGGGAAACCACATCTTTCAGTCCGTCAGATAATCACACACCCGGAATTAGCTTTCACGTTGAGGTAATGGTGACTGACCTGTTCTCTGTCATCCCATGGAGAAACTTCCCCAGTCATTTTGTACCATTATATAAATATATATATAAATATAAATATATAAATACAATATGTGAAGACATCTTATTGGTTTTTATTTGAAACGATTTTTAGGCTTGTTTTTGGGTATCTGTGCTGCCTGTAATGTATTGACCTGTTTTATAGGTGCCTTTTTATTAAAAAGACAAATTTCAAAACCTGACCCTGTGCCTGTCTTCAGTTGAGCTGTGTGATCGTGGGGCTGCGATCGGGTGTCCTCAGCCCGGCCTGGAGCTCAGCACCAGCACCTGCAGCAGGTTGGGGCTGATCAGAGGGGCTCAGCTGCCCCCACTATAAATACCTGACGTCTGCCCTTTGTGAGGTGGCTGCGAGATCCTTGGGGGAGCTGGGATGCCTGTGCTTGGCACAGACCTGGGTGTGCTCCTGCATCGGCTGTTTACGGGCAGTGGAAACTGGGCCAGCACCCGGGAAGTACCGACGTGGGACAGGACAGTTCTCCCAGGTAGGTGGAGGGGCTTGCACAGGGCTGGTGGGGGGCAGGAAGGGCCCCCCCGGTAGAGGGGACCTGGAGCAGGGACTCGCTGCCCAAGCTGGTGGCTGGAGCCCCCTAGTTCCCCGCCGTTTGTGGGGAACACTGTGTTGCGGCCTGGCAAAGCTCGTCTGTGTTGTAGGCGCTGTGCGTTTGTGGGGAGCCAGAGCAAATGTGGAGGGTGCTGTGATGGCAACGGGGCAAGAGGCTGATTCTGGGGGCTAGGAGAGAGAAAGGGGACGTGCTGCTGACTGAGCAGAGCTGGGGTGGTGTCTGTGACTGCCCACCACCTGAGCTCATGGGCCTTGGTGGCCGTGGTGCCCTATGTCCAGGGCCACCTGTGCTCAAAATAAGGAAGACGCGGCAGGCAGCAGTACACAAGGCACTGAAGTGCTGGAGCATCTGTTTGGTTCTGGGAGATCAGGGTGAGGAAGTAGGTTGCCTTCTTGATAAGGAAAATGAAACTGTGAGTCACAAGGGGGCAGGGGGTGCTGGAGCTGGTGGGAGGGTGCGAGGGCATGGGGAGAGCCCTGTCTCTGCAGCGCTCCCAGGCACGTGCTCATTCATGCGTCCCCTGGCTCGAGCTCCTCAGTGCATGCTCTGCTGCCTGCCACGGCCCTGCGATCACTGTGCGTGTGGCAGGATGCTCTGCTGAAACACCCCAGCTCTGTCCCCTGGGAGACTCAGTCACCCCGTAGGATGTGCAGAGCAGCGTGCTGTTCTGGGGGTCTTGGTGTCCTCCTTCTTTGGGGTCACCTTCAGCAGGGACCATGGCTTTCTCAGGGGTCTCTGCCTCAGCCTTGTTAGCAGAGTACAGCCCAGGGTCGCACAAGTGCACACTGTGGACGGTGGTGATGTGGCCTTGCCCAGTGGCTGGGGCCCGAGCAGAGCTCCGTGGGGCAGGCTGATGGTCTCCTTGAGGGCTGCAGGATCTGGGGGTGGCTCTGTTGGTGTGAGCGCTCAGCGGGGAAGCCCGCTCTGGGCCAAGGCATGTGACGGCCACACAAACCTAGGGGAGACAGGATTTTGCTGGGTGCTTCCTCTGTGGTGAAGGAGAGTTCCTCTTGCGTTCTTGTCGCCATTCGGCTGGTGGCTGCAGTCAGCTGCAGGAGGAGCAATGTCTGCTCTTTGGGGAAGGGTCTGCTGGCTCTGAGCCGAGCCTTCCCCAGGCTGGCCGGGTCAAGGGTGGCTTCCCCTTGGGTCAGCAGCTGCTGTGAAACTGGGATGGGAGGTGCAGCAGTTGGTGGAAGAGGCTCTGCAAAGCAGGGAGCTAGTGTAGGTCTGGGCTGACTCGGACTACAGTCCAGTCTTCTGTGGCACTGGCGAAGTGGAATCTGAGCAAGGTGCTCTTAGGAGCCTGTGGTCTCCATGGACGAACAGCAACGCTTGTCAGAAAGGTGCCGTCAACCCACTTAGAGCTCTCTGATGCATTTACCTTGCAAAAGTGATGCGACTCTAGACAACTGCTTACAAGCACCATACGTGAGAAGATGGTATGTTATATAACTGTTTATTACAGCTCACATCAAAACTTTCTAAAAGTTTACCAATGTACCAGTACTAAAAACTATAGTAACAATAGATACGTAATTTGTTCACCCATATTTTGCGTCCAGATTTTCTTTTTACCTTGTGAACGCTGTAAGAATTTTACACACTGACTGTTAGTTTAATGAGTTACATTTTTGTGTAGGAACACAGTTCCCATCAGAACCCGGGCTGGGGAGGTGTTTACAGCATGTCTGCAATGGGTTTTCTCACCAGTGCAAGCGTGGAGAAGGCGAGGGCAGGTTTCAGTGAGCTGCTCTTCTGCTGCTGCGCTTACGTACTTGGACAACCACGGTCGCCATTACCTGTAGGTTTCAGCTTTGCAGATGCAGCGCTGCAGGAAATGGTGGGCTGCTCTTTGTATAAAAAGCCTTTTGCTTGGGGAGTTTTCTCCTTGAGTCACAATTTGAGAGCGAGCTATTGAGATCTCAGCCTGAGCTGGACTGACGTGATGTGACCCCTTCTGTAATGACTGATCTTTTTAGCAGGGCTCTTGAGCATGGTGAAGTTTGGCTGCAACCGAGCCCTTTGTCAGTGAGCTGGACCTCAGAAGTGAGTGTAGCACAGAATTCCTGCTGCAGCAGGAGAACTGATGTTGTTCCAACTTTGTTTAAAAAGTGAAGCGAACGGTAGATTGGATTTTAAATTGTGATCGCCATTAGGGTCGTGCTGGTGTGACCTTGGGTACGTGTGGCTCTCGTACAGCTCAGGCCACTGCAGCGACAGCCAGCAAGAGAAACGTAATGGATGCCATGTAGAACTGTGACAAGACTGCTAGGAAGCAGCAGGCTGCCCTAGTCTGTCAGGGCCGCCCCACTTGCTAGCTTGCGGTGCAATAATTAGTGACAGTGAAAGCTCCCCCTTTTATTTTGGACCAAATTGTTATCAAGCAGCCCTGATCTGAGCAGTTGCTGGATACTTGTGGTTCAGGGCAAGATCAGTGCCTGGGTTTGTTCTGTGTAAACCTGGATGCACTAAACCTCTGAAAACCCCATAGGTGCAGGTGGAGCAAAAACACCAGAAAGCACAGTGCGAAGCAAAATGTTACGTTCCCTCTCAGCCTGCTAAAAACAAACAGAAATTATTCAAACAAGCTCTTTTCCTTACTTTGGGGCAATGGGTCTCCTTGTTCTCACAACCCATAAAGTGCTGTACAACAAGCTGCAAACCAAGAAAGTTATACTTTCAGCCTAACAAAGCCGTGGGGTTCATCTCCCCTGTGCTCAGTCACAAGGCATAAGCTGTCTCTCCAGATGGCTTTATTCCTTAAAGGAAAGCTTTTGCATAGTCAAGCATTCAGTTCATCAGTCACTCGCTGGAGCTCTTAACCGAAACATATCAAGTGAGCAGGAAAGGATGCAGTTGATTTCAGGAAAGGAATCTGTGACAGTCAAATCTTAGAGCCTGTGGCAGGACTTCCTGCTGTGAGCTAAGTTGGGAAGATCAACCTGCCCTGGCCGGCCAGGGGGACGTCACGCACCAGGAGGAGCGCTATTGCAGCCAGAGACCACCCAGCACCATCTGCCTGTGCTATCGGAGCGTGCTCTGCACCACCCGCCGGTCCTACCTCCATCCCTCATTCCAGCTGCCGTGATCATCTAGTTCCTGCTGCTTCCTTTAGGCATGTCTCTGCCAACCTGAGCTGGTAAAATGGAGACCTGCTTAGCTTTTGTCCTCAGTCCTTGCTCACTGACATGGCTCCAGGTTTCACTTGGCTGCACTTTTTTACTCACTCCCGGCACCCCAGTCTCGTGCCCAGCTCTGTGCACAGGACGCCTGCAGTCAGTTTTTCGAGGGAGAAGTGGAAACGTCAGGTTCAACATGCTCTGGTTCATCCGGCCCTGCCAGAGCAACGGTTGGACAACCAGCACTCGCCAACAGCTGCCAGACAGATTTCTACATGCAGGAGAACCAGAAGGAGCCAGGGAAAGTATCTGGTGGGCTTTGGGTGTTTGGTGGCTACCAGCCCTCAGCTTCCTGAGGAGTGAAAAAAAGCGGTGGGGACGCTTGTGAAACTTGGGAGCGAGGTCACAGCACATGTGCCACTGGGAAGGCAAGCCCCAGGCCGGTTCTGCCCTGCAGACAGCCTTTCCCAATTAGAAAGTGGAGATAGAGGTGGTGTTGTCAGACTCGATCCCACTGCCCTTCCTCGCCACCTCCAGGATCTCCTGCAGGGTCTCCTGGCTGATGCAGCCGAGCTCCTGCAGGATCCGGAAGAAGTCGTTACGGAACTTGACTCCGATGAAGGCGTAGAGGATGGGGTTGAGGCAGCAGTGCGTGAAGCCAATGGCCTCTGTCACCATGATGGCTGTGTCCAGCTGGTCTTCCAGGAGGCAGTTCTTGGTGAAAGCTTCTAGCTTGGTAAGTGTGTTCAGGAAGATGACGATGTGGTACGGGCTCCAGCAGAGCAGGAAGACGCCTGTGACCAGGATGGCCACGCGGACAGCCTTTTGCCTCTGCAGGCGCTGGGACTGACACAAAGCCCGGACGATGGCCATGTAGCAGTAACACATGACCAGCAGGGGCACAAAGAAGCCCACGGTGTGGTAGAGGAAGCGGGTTGCCAGCCAGACATTGTTGCCATCGATCCCAACCTCTGGAAAATAGCAAATGCTGCGGTTGCTGTCATCTGTCCAGACTTCCATGAAGATGAAGTCGGGTAAGGTCAAAAGCAGCGAGCAGAGCCAGACAGCTGTGCAGGTGAGGTGGATGGAGCGAGCTCTGCGTTTGCGGTAGGTGTGGATTGCGTAGACGATGGCCAGGTAGCGGTCCACCGCGATGCACCCCAGCAGCATGCTGCTGCAGTAGAAATTGATCTTGTGGACAGCACTGAGGACCTTGCAGAGGAACTTCCCAAATACCCACCCGGCCAAGCTTTCCACCACGCTGAAGGGGAAGGTGAGCAACAGCGCTAGGTTGGCCAGGGTGAGGTGGAAGAGGAAGTTCTCTGTGGTAGTGCGAGACCGCTTGAACCTCTCTAAAATGACCAGGACCAGGGCATTGCCCACAGTCCCCAAGACGAACATCAGCAGGTAGATGACGGGCATGAAGACCTTTCTGAACGGGTCTCTCTGGTTGCCAACCACAGATGAGGCTGGGTTGAAGCAAAAGTAGCCCTCCAAAGATGGGGTGCTGTTCTCGGCTTCGTAGTAACCACTCAGCTCCACCTGGCTCTGGGGAAGAGAGAGAGTCTGGTTACTGGGGAGGAGTTTCCAAGTGTGAGAGCCCAGTCCCTCAGCTGCCCCTGGCAGACCTGAAGCAGAGCATCCTCACATCCTGCAGCCCACCTGCATCAGGAGGAGGTGCTGCCTATCTGCAGTACGATGACCTGGGAGGTGCAGCAGCATGTGGAGAGGGTTGTCCCGATCTCAAATACCGAGGGCTGCTCGGTCTGTAATCTTTAACTAGCATATTTGGGGATATTCTGGTGTCCAGACAGATGACCAGTTTCATCTTCTGGTTCTTGCTGAATTACCTGCTTGTGGCTCTTGCTTTCTCGCACAGCACAGAACCCTGCTCTACCAGCTTTCCCGATCTTTCCACCTGTTCTGACACTGACTGTCTCTGTCCTGCCTGCTGTCAGGTATGAAGGTGGTGGTATTCACTGCAGATCACATCTGTACCTCAAGTTATATGCACTGATCCTGTCCCCTTCTGCCTCTGCTCCTCAGAACTGCCTGGGGCAGAGCAAGGCGAGATGGGGACAGCAGCAGTCGTGCTTGGGATCGCTTTCCATGTGGTCAGAGAAAAGTGTTTATTCAAACATGACTGGAGGAATGGCTCTGGGGTGCTGTGGGGATGGATGCTAGAGAGAGAAATCCGTTCTGTTGGTAAACCCCGTGGTTCTGAATTAATTGCAGTCAGAGCAGGAAAGGGAATCTGAAAACGCTACTCGAGCCCCAGGCTGATACCTGGTAAGGAAAGTGCGAGAGCGGCCGCAGATGTGCGTTGTGCTTGGCTGTAGCTCCTTGCCAGGTAAGCAGCCTGCATTCAGGCTGAGACTGTGCAATCCCGAATGCCGGGAAGCTGCGGTCGGGCTTGGGATGAATTCCCGGAAGGGGGACACACTCCGGCTGGACTCGGGCACCTTGCACCTTGTTCACAAAAACAAGGGGCTCGGAGGCAGTCGGGCAGAAAACAGTGGCACGGGAGGCTTGCGGCGAGCTGAGAAGTTGGTGACAACTGGGAAGAGCTAGGTAGCAGTTGCCTTGAGCTCCCCCACCCACACCCTCTCTGGAGACCAGGGCCGAGACTTCAGTGTCAACCACAGCGGAAGTTTCTGCTCGGTGCTTTCATACCTTTCACTGCCAGCTGTAGCCGTTTGCACCTGCTGCTCCTTCCCTCCTCAGCCAAAGTTCCCATCTAAAAATACTAGCCCTGCTTTAAATGCTCTCAGAGCTGATTTGGGGGGTTTTTGCTCCCCTCCGCTGTGCTGTGGAGCCAAATGACCGTGACCAGCATCGAGTCTTGTGTTGTGCCAGGCTAGAGAAGGGCGATTTATGTTTCTCCTCTCTCAGGCGCTGGATGCCTCTGCACAGGACTGTCTGGGGTGAAGAGGTGACAGCGCAGCGGCAGCGCTTGTCTCGAGCTGCTGTAATCATCTGCGAGGCTGCAAGGGGAGCCTGGGCACGTTGATGGGGAAGAAGTCTGCGGAGCATTACCGAACGTGTGGAGCCAGCAGTTGGCTCAGGTGGTCCCTGAGCGGCGGATGGTAGAGGGGTGAGAGAGCCCTTGGAATCTTGCCCAGCTCTTGCCCTCTACCTTTGGCTATTGTCAGAAAGAGCGCTGAGCCAGACAGACTTCGGTCTGACCCAAGTCCCTCTTGGTCTTGCCACGGTCCCATTCCCCACCGGCTCTGCACCCACCGGTGCTGCTGTGATGCCACGGTGCTTCTTCCTGAACGGGCAAGAGCTGGTTCTCTCGGGGGCCGAGAGTCTTCCTCCCTGCCCAAAACCTCAAACACATGTGACTCTTCCCCTAATGTAACGGTGGGGCTGCAAGCCTTTGGAGAGAAACTTTTATATTCCCAGAGAATAATTATTTTTCTGGTTTAGGCTGATTCTTGAGACAGGAGATTGCTGCTAAAGAGAAAAGCCTTTAGAAATCCCTCCCAGTTTGTTTTTTCTCTGGCTTGAAAATATTTCCTGCCTACTCCGTACCCTGCGTCAGGAGTTACCAATACTCACAGAAACCTGTGATGTGTTGGCCGGAGTCAGACCTTTGAACCTCCACGAAAAAACCAAAACCAACCCAAAAACTTATTAATTTGTTACAGAGACCAAAGCAGGCTGCTCAGGATGCATGTGTGACTGTGCTGAAAACCCTGAAGAGAATATATGTTGGAACAGGTAACTTCACTGGCGAGAGGCTGGAGGGTTCCAGCTTTAAAGGGAAAAAGGAAACGATGGGAAATGGCTGGGTTTGATGGCCAGAGCGTTGGAGCGCTGCCTTGAGCCATGGCAGCGCCACCGATGATGGCGATTGGGCAGCCTGTGTGGTGTTCAACATCTGTGGCTGCCGGATGGCTTTCAGCATCACCTTGCATTCAGAACCGGAGGTGCAGAGGCTGAGTGCCACTATCAGACACCATCTGATGTCTGATAAGACGGCAGGTAGGGCTCTTACTGTAAGCCACTCGCCGCGGGCAGGGGAAGCGTGCGCCGAGCTGTGTCTGAGGCCTCCTCTCATGTGCATCTCCGAGCAGAGCAGCGAGTGTGGGTGGGAGCGGACAGAGATGAATTGGAGACAAATAAAAGAGGATGAAAAGTCAGAGTCCAGGCTGAGACAGGAAGGGCATGGACCAGAACTGCAGCAGGTGCACTGAATGTGACACACTGAGGCTTTCGGGGACTCTGCTGCGATTCCCATTTCTAGGACTGGAAGCGGGTGGCTGCCTGATCTGGGATGGGAGAAGTCAACAGTGTGTGCACGGGTAGACCTTTGTACAGGTCTCCTGCAAGACAACTGCAGCCAGATCTGGGGGTGGGTGACAAAGCGGTGCCTTCTGTACGTGAGCGATCAAGCACATGCTTGGAAAGCCCGTTCCTATGTGATTTTTGTTCAGGAATCCCTTTTCCCCTCTAACCCGCATCTCAGAGTTATTACGGACTCCCCATGTCAGCTGCTTTTCTTGGTTCCCCACAACTGCCGGTGATAAAACATCTGGGTGCACAACAGAAGCACCTTGTGCACTATGAGGGATTTTCCACGGGAGTCATTTGCTTTTAGCCCACGCCAGGGCCGGGAGAAGCACATTTCATTCCCAAAGCCTTAAAACTGAAATTGCCCACCTCAGCAAGTCAATGACAGAGCTTCTGCTCATCCCCTCTCTGGGTGCTGAACTAGTGAAACAGACAAATAAGGGCAAAGCCTGTAGAAATGCCACACTTCTGTAGAGCAGGTGTTTTTATGGCTCTTGAGTCATGTCGGTTCCATTATAATGCTGGCCTGCGGTACCTCAGGAGACCCGGTGCAGATCTTGGTGGTCTTTCCGCAACTGTGGTTTTGTTTCTCTAGTCTGCAACTGAGGAAAGTTAAGCAGGCAAAGCTTTCTTGCTGTGGAGAAACGGGGTTTGGGCACGGTACTTTTCCACAAGGTGACAGAGATGAGTGGTCCCATATGGTATCAAAGTTTAGGTGAGGCCCTCGCTGTGTTTACTGGCTGATACTGAACTGAATGCCCTTTTGTTGCAAATGTTCTCGTCACTTCTCCCTCCACACTTGCTCAATCGGACAAGTGATCCCCTCTGTGAGTGTGCAGGGCAAGGTTTGTGTCACTGCTTTGACAGGACACCGTTGAGGTCTTTTTTGCAAATCTCTGCGGGCAGGCGCTCCTATGAGCGCCAAGTATAAGTAAAGCAACATATGGCACCACCAAAGCAAATGTGGCATTGCTCATGTGAGATTTGTGGCTTGTTCCAAGGATGGAGGCAAACCTGGGACAGAGGAGGCAGAGGTGGGAAATGTGTGTCACACACACACAGGAAGTCTGAGAAAAAGTATAAAACTGGTTTTGCTGTGGCACCTGACTGTTGGTGGTCAGTCCCAAGGTTAGCGGAGTTTCCCCCCTCACACGAGGTCTCCTTTACAGCTTAAAATAATTCACAGCAGAGGTAAAAACACTAAGCTAAGGCTCTGAGAAGTATTGTACTCAAAGAACAAATCCCAGTGCTGCTTAATTCCCTTGCGTTAAAAACTACATGGTTTTGCCACAAGCAACCGCTTGCTTATAGGGCATGACAGGCTGCAGGCAGGAGGAGGAGAGTCCTTCAGCCTCGCCAGTTTTCTGGTGGTTGGACAAATTTCCAATGGAGAGCTCAGCTGGAGGAACAAACCAGCATGGAGATGAAAAAGGGTTGAGGTTTTAACCTCTTGACAAGCGTCAGTGCTGCTACTGAACTTCAGCAGAGGTCAGGGAGAGCAGCGTCTTCTGTAAAAAGGAGGAATGCAAAGGAACGACCACTGTTCACAAAGGATTTTTATATTGGACGAATCAGAAAAAATAAGGTGGGTAGGGCTTGCTCCCCCATCTCCTCTCTCTTCCCTGGTGTATAGGACAAAGGAGGGACGGAAAAAATTACAAAAATTAAATCCAGCATTTTTCTCTTTAGAGAAACTACACCAAACCTGAGGTCTGCTGCAGAGAGCCACTGTATTAAAAAATAAGTTCTGAGCTGCAACATTTGAAAAACAGGCTAATGATAGCACTGCTGTGGACTTCCCCTTGGATAGCACAACATACTCTAAAAGGTGCAGCTGCTGTCTTTCACTTGCAAAGGCAGGGGAGAGAACTGCGGGGTAGAATACACAGTGTCATCGCTCGCTATCTATTAGAAGAAGTACTTGCAATTTATCTTCCCCTCTTTAAAATTCCCCTCTTGTAAATATACTGTTTCAGCAGAGTCTTATGGCAGCCCGTTCGTGGAAGAGGCAAACGGGGTAGGAACGTGTACCAAGCGTTTTCACATGCGGAGAGATAGCTTTGGCTTTGCTTGGGTATTCCTTTTATGAAAAGATATTAGATGAGGTTTCCAGGACTTTGCACACTGTGTGCACAGTCATTTATGCCATGGAAAGCTGGTGCAAAAGGTGTCCAACTCAGAACGAGTGTTTAACACCCATATTGTGTCAATGGCCACGCAGGGAGCAGGGCAGTGGGGAAGAGAGACTGGGACAGGCTGGCAGGGTGGGACGGGGCTCAGTGGTTTATGCTCCAGGTCCCTGTGTGAGGACGGCGCTCGGTTCCCTCATCGGTCAAGTCCAGAGTTGAGGGATGCAAAGGCTGGTTGCGTGGGCATAAGAAACCACTCAAGCTCTCCCTCTGCCACCAGGAGGGTGAGAAGACGGACAGATAGAAACCAGGTCTTTCAGCCCACCCCAGCTGTACATGCTCTCCCCGTTATCCTCTCAAACAAGTAAAGCCCGACTCACCAAGTCATAGGTCTCTGATGAGTAGCTGACAGGCCCCATGGTTTCAGGAGCAGGATCTGTCTCTCCTCCAGCAGTTTCAGCAAAAGTTCTTCTTTTTTGGGGTGGAGTTAGTAATTTAAGTGAGTAGGGAGGGACTGAGCGTGTGACAATAGAGTATTTGCAAGGCAAATGAGCTCCAGGCATAGAGTGACCTAATTGATGTGAAGATTAGTATCTAGCTTTATCATCTTTTTTTTTTGCGATGTAAGTTGACTTTATCGTATCGTTTGAAGAATCCACATTCCTTTGGTCTGTATTAGAGAAGATCCAGAAGATCTCTAGGGCTCTTACCCATGGCTGTCCTTGGTGGTCTGACAGGCTTTGGAAAGCTCTGTGCCGAGGGACACCCTTACCAGAAAACTCTCCGGATCTGGACACCTCTCTGGAGCCATGCAAGACTTTGAAGGCGGCTGAGATTAAATGTATGGGTCTGGTCTGTACGATCATCTCCCTCTGCCTCGGGATCCTCCTGGCTGCTTTAACCTCAGTGACCTGCAGATGTCTTCTGCTCATTCTCCCACTGCTTGGCCCCTTGCCTTGGCTTGGGAGGACATGCAGGGGGTTTGCACTTGAAAGCAAGGCCACAGCGACCGCTCTGCAGGTCTAGGGAAGGGCACTAGCTGGCAAAGGCTGGTCTGCTGTGCCATGCACAGACAGAGTGAAGACCCTTGATTAGACGCCTTCCTGCAGTGCTTGTATTGCCATAATAAAGGTGGGGAATCAAGATTTCCTCTGCTCAGCGAAATGGGCATTATGATTCCAAGTGATGTTGCAGCTGTAGATTCATAGCATGAAAGCCCCAGTCCGGGTCAGCAAGGTAGGATGGCATCACAGCTGGCATTTTGGCAGAAAGCTTTTCCCCTGTGAGGAGCTGAGGCAGCTCAATGAGCACAGTGCCTGTTCTCCTCTTGTCTGGGCACAGCTGCGCCAAAGCCTCTGCACCCATGAGGATCTGGTGGGACATGGGCTGGTGAAGGATGTGGCATTATCCTGGTGAGCACCCTTTGATTTCACCCACTCCTTATGCTTCTCAGAAGGGCCCTGGTGATCCTGACTCGACAGGGGCCTGCTGCCCTGAGGACGTTGGTGTGCACCCATATGTGCCCGCCCAACACACCAGCTTCTGGGCACCCCTTCTTCCAAAAGTGAGAGGACAGAGAGCAGCAAGGCCGGAGGCAAGGCACGGGGAGCTCGTGCCGTGCCTCGTGTCCCCTGCCTGTCCAGCGTGGCTGTGTGGTGAAGCGAGATGGGGGCGTACAGAGAGGTTCAGAAGGATGTTTTCATTCTGCTACAACTGGAGGGTGGAGCACTCGTCATCAGGGTGCTGTTCCCCATGGCAGGGACCGTTTGGGACCGGTTCTGTGACCTTCAACAAATGCTGCCCAGCCCCCCACCCCCCCTCTGGCCCAACTACCCCGAGCGAAGCACGAGTACTGTGCAAAGTAAGGTACTGCGAGTCTGTAGGTGACAGTGACGCCACAGAACCTCTTGGGTCAGGGGGACTGCCTATGGGATGTGGCTGTGCGAAACTGTAGGCTGGAAACGCCTCCCAGGCTGTAAGCTTGGCCCTCAGACGTGGCAAGGGAATGACAGGGGCTCGGAGAGCCCACTCCAAAGCAATAGACAAATTATTTCACTTGCAAACACATGCTACACAGAGGAAAAGACTGCTCCCGTACAGACATGACCTATGGGATCCGTGTGTTGCTGTAAGGTGAACTGTGGGAAATATGACAGCGAAAGAGAAAAGCATGGGAGAAAAACAAATGAGGAGAAAAGAAATTTAAATGAAAAATAATGTCACTTCACAGGCAGGTAAGGAACTGACTATGGAAGAAAATAATCACAAAAGTCGACAGTAAATACTTGAGTGTTTTGGTGTCTGTACATGGAAATTCCTGGCTGAACTCTGATTTTCTGCCACAGGTACACACTCTCACTGGAGAACTGTTCTTGTATTGTCAGGAAAATAAAACGTCATTAACTCGGTTGAGGTATTCTGATAATAGGAAACTATTCAGCTTTACGTAAGGATGATAAAACACGCTGCTTGCGTATAAAGTTGCTCTGTTCTATATATCTAAGATGTGACTAACAAGCACATCTAGTGACCAGTTTGACATTACACTGACTTTCTGAACTCTGCTTGAGAAAAACCAGATTGCTTCTGGCTCCTGAATCTTCTCACCTCTAATGTTTTCTGTTTGTCTTACTTGTTGTTACCATAACTAAAGCTTTGCGAAGCACGTGCTGCCTACAGATGTTACTCATATTTACTGATCTGTTAATTTCTGTTGTCGTTTGTCCTTTTAAGGTGAGAGCATGCTATTTCCTGTACGTGTCATTGCAAAGTGCGATGCTCAGCCCTGCAAATAGCTGAGATGAAACGCCGGTCCCCGCACGGCAGGGTGAGAGCAGCAGCAGGTGCCGGAGTACAAGGGTTGTGTCCGGTGTGTCCTTCTGACTCAGGGAATGAGGGAGTCGAGGCTTCTCCAGCCACAACTGCTGCACCCTTCAGCCAACAAGCGGCCCAACGAGCTGGCACAGCAAGAAACAGGTGAGATGCAGCTTTTCCACCCCCCTGCCATTCGAAGGCACAACACCTGTCTTTTCGGGTTCCTTTTCTCTTGCTGTGCTTGCAACAGAAGCGTTAAAAAGAAAGAGGGATGCGTCGGGCGGGAGCAGAGGCTTGCGAGGGAGCTTGGCACCAGGGGCTACCTCTCTGCCCCAGAGGATGGCAGCTGGGGACACAGCAGCAGCACCACGGGTCAGCTGGGAGGGAATGAAAGACAAGGCTGTGCTGATCTTATTTCCAATGAGAATCAGGCAGGAATATGTGAAATTACACGGGAAGGGTCGTCAGGCCTGATGGAGATGATTGTGCTGTGCGTATTGCTGTTGGGGGTAGGGATAAACAAAGATCTAAAGGCGGCTGTAGGTGTGAGGAACTAGGAAAAAATGGCGATGTGAGGAGAAACAAATGGATTTCCCTGTCTTTTTGTGCTTCTTTTGGAAAAACATTTGAACAAAAACTTGTCTGCAAAACAGTTTTGGAATTACTAGCATTTTTAGGCCTCTGTTTATGATTACATTCCCATTGTGCCTCAGTTTGTCAAAACCCTTGTCTAAAAACGAGCTATCTAAAAGGAAAATAATGATTTCCAACCTGTCATGCTTGGTGTTTGTGGCTCTTACACGCTGCAGGTCAGTTTTTTATTTTTATATGTGTGTTAGCTGTGTTTTAATTACTACAAAATGAGGTGGAGCTAACTTTCCAGGCTTTTTCTCGGGGAAATAAGAATAGGCTTCGTTATGAGATCTGAGATGTATGCTGCTTCCAAGCAAGAGAAGCCATCAGTGCTGGTGGCTTCTACTTTTGTCATGTGTCCCGCTCGCAGAAGCAGCGCTGCCCCATCACTAATGGAGGGTCTGTCTGCCTCTGCTCAGAAGTATTTATTCTTTTGGGTTGGCACAGATAGTTGGTAGCACGGTTGACATGCCTGAGGCACAGGATGCCATCTGGAAGGGCCTGGACAAGGTGGAGAAGCGGGGCCTAAGTGAACCTCGTGAGGTTCTACGTGGCCAAGTGCCTGGTCAGGACAATCCCAATACAAATACAGGCTGCATCCAGCTCCGGGGCCTCAGAACAGGAGAAGCATAGACCTGTTGGTGCGAGGCCAGGGGAGGCCCCGGAGACGCTGCGAGGGCTGGAGCCCTTCTACTGTGAGGACAAGCTGAGAGAGTTGGGGTTGTTCAGGCTGGAGAAGGCTCCATGGAGACCTTATTGCGGCCCACCCTGTGCCAGGGGCCGGGGGTCCCCCCCTGCCGTCATCGCTGACGGCGCAAACGCCCCGTGCCCGCTCCGGCCGCGGGGACTGTTCTCCCCTCGGTCGCGGCCGGGCCCTGGCGGAGCGGGACCGCCAACATGGCGACAGCTCCGCGCGGCGTTCGCGGTCACGTGGGCGAGGGAGCGCCGTACGTGCGTCCGTGCGGGCGTCCGTGCGTGCGGGGCGTGGCCGGCCTGCCCTGCCGGGAGGGGGAGGGCGCACGGGAGGAAGGAGGAAGCCGCCATCTTGGAGCGTCGAGTCGCCATAACAAGGCACCAAGGGGGAGCGAGAGGATTTTATACCTGGGCGAGGGGGGAGCGCGGCTGGTGGCGGTGAGGACGGGCCAGGGCGCCGGGGCGGGCGCGGGTCTGCGGGAGCGGGGCGGCGGGGGGGTGTGTGTGCGCGCGTGTGTGCGCGCTGCCTCC